AGAGCCATTGCCTTATCTTTGAAAACTCGTCGAACGGGAAGTCCCGGATGACTGGAAAAAGGCTAATGTAGTCCAATCTTTAAAAAGGGAAGAAGGAGGATCCTGGGAACTACACCATCAGCCTCACTTCAGTCCCTGGAAAATCATGAGAGTCCTCAAAGAATCAATCCTGAACACTTCATGAGAGGAAAGTGATCAGAACAGTCACATGGATTCACCAAGGAAGGTCATGCCTGACTAATCTATCCTTCTATGATGAGATTATGGTTCTTATGAAGGGAAACAGTGATGTATTGTTTCTTGACTTTAGCAAACTTTTGACACGTCTCCCACAGTATTCTTGTCACAAGTTAAGGAGTATGGGCTGGATGAATCCTACAAGGTGGGTAGAAGTGCTAGATTGTCTCAACGGGTAGTGATCAATGGCCATGTCTAGTTGGCAGTATCAGTGAGCCCCAGGGTCGTCCTGGGTTTTGTTCAATATCTTCATAAATGATCTGGAGGATGGTGTGATTACTCTCAGCAAATTTCGGATGATACTAAACTGGGAGGAGTGGTAGATACGTGGAGGGGAGGGATAGGATACAGAAGGACCTAGACAAATTGGAGGTTGGCCAAAGAAATCTGATGAGGTTCAATAAGGATAGTGAGGGTCTGCACTTAGGAAGAACCAATGCACACTACAGACTAGGGACCGAATGTCTAGCCGTTCTGCGGAAAGGACCTAGGGTGACAGTGGGAGAGCTGGATATGAGTCAGCAGTGTGCCCTTGTTGCCAGAAGCCAATGGCATTTTGGGATGTATAAGTAGGGCAGAGCAGATCGAGAGTGATCGTTCCCCTCTATTCGACATTGGTGAGGCCTCATCTGGAGTACTGTGTCCAGTTTTGGGCCCCACACTTCAAGAAGGATGTGGATAAATTGGAGAGAGTCACGAAGGGCAACAAAAATGATTAGGGGTCTGGAACACATGAGTTATGAGGAGAGGTGAGGGAGTGGGATTGTTTAGTGCAGAAGAGAAGAATGAGGGGGATTTGATGCTGTTTTCAACTACCTGAAAGGGGTTCCAAAGAGGATGGCTCTAGACTGTTCTCAATGGTATCAGATGACAGAACGAGGAGTAATGGTCTCAAGCTGCAGTGGGGGAGGTTTAGATTGGATATTAGGAAAAACTTTTTCACTATGAGGGTGGTGAAACACTGGAATGCGTTACCTAGGGAGGTGGTAGAATCTCCTTCCTTAGAGGTTTTTAAGGTCAGGCTTGACAAAGCCCTGGCTGGGATGATTTAACTGGGATTGGTTGTTTGAGCAGGGTTGCTAGGACCTTCTGGGGTCCCTTCCAACCCTTATTTCTATGATTCTATGATTCTGATACACTGCATTATGCAGCCCCGAGTCCAACCACCCATATCCCAGATTTCCTAGCACCCTCCCAAAACAAGGCTGCTCCAGCCCTTGGTTTGTGGCGCAGTGTGGGAAAACTTGATTGTTCAGAGGACAAGGAAATTCCTTTTTTGTATGGCTTGGGTAGGTAGCAACAACTACAAATTTACATCTGAGTTTGATAGTCAGCACATTGCCACAGCAGTGAACTGGTGAATGTCCTTCAGGCCCCCAGCAAAAGAACGAAGGGGACACTCAGATATGATGTGCTCCATCATTTGTGCCTGGTGACCACAGCCGCATACAGGTGTTTGCCTCATTTCCATTTAAAGAGAATTTGTCCACATCTCCCATGAGATGTCCTTATGCAATTCAATCTGCACCAGTCTTTCTGACATAAATCGAGATCCGGTGGTTCCTCAACAGGATCAATGAGCGGTTTGTTTTGAGCAGTTGAAATGTTCCATGTGACTCTCCATTGAGCCTCAGCATTGAAGTTGGGTGTAAGGGTCTTGATACGGTTCCACAGAGGGTTGCGGGATTTTAATCTGGTCTTTGGCAGGTTCTGCAGGTCATCGTGCAGCGGGATCCTCATGTTTGCATTGACATGGTTCAGAAAGCGAGATGTCTGAGAAGCTCTTCTAATCTGTGGAGGCTGGATGGGCGACAGGACCGGGAGCCAGTCAACTGGAGCTGATGTGAGCATCACTGACACTATGCGCATCCTATTAGTGATCCTTGAGTATCAAGGAGTTTAGTGCGACTGCTGAGAGACCACACTGGCGTACAATATTCAGCTGCAGAATATACCCACCTCCTTTCCAGTGAACATAGCAATGATTATACTTCCTCAAACCGCCCTTTTCAGGACTAAAAAAGAACAGTCGGCTAGTCCTCCAAATATACCAATTTAATGTAGAAGGGATGTCCCCGGGGAAAAGGACAATGAAATCCAGCCTGTGAGACAGTGGAATACTTTTGGCAGATTCCCAAAGCACAAGTCTCTATTGCAAAGCTATAGAGTTTGAACCCTGGGTCCCAGCTTCACTTAGGCTCAGACCCTTCACTCCCAGTCACTCCTGAGACTGAGCCCTGGCTTAGTACGATTTGTGTATAGACAGAAGGGGGGTGAAGTTTGAACCTGAGTTTGAATCCTGGGATTAGACTGCAGTGTTCACATAGCCAGTAAGGGCCTGATCCAAAGCCCACTGAAGTGAATGGAAAGACTCCCATTAACATGAAAAGGTTTCGTATCTGGCTCTAAGTTTAGTGATCATAACAACTGATATTATATACTGCCCAAGTACTGTTGTTTGTACCACCAGATTTCAAATAATTATGGCCACTTTCTCAAAGCTGCCAAGTTCCTGCAGTTCCAAAGGAATCCACAGGCACTTAGACCTTCCAAAAATTTAGGCCTCAGGCAGTTTTCTCCTTTGATTTTATGTAGGATATGACAACTTTTCCTATCAAAAGAATAGATAACTAGACAAAAGAATAACTAAGCCTTAGCAAATTATGTTATACATACTTTTAAAAGATTAATAATTCTTGCTACCAGTATAGAAACAGCAGCATCTTCTTTCAGATTACCATGAGCACACATTGGACTATTTGTGGAGGTTCAAATATCTTATATTTTCAAGCAAAAACATGTCAGCTCAAAAGCAAACAATATTGCCATTTAATTATGCCAACTATTTATATACCATTTAATGAAAGAGACAGATGTTTTGCAACCATGTTGCAATTCCAAAATTGAAACTATGCATCTCAGTTTCAAAACTAACACAGTAGGCTGATTTCAATGACATTACTTCCAGTTTACACCAGTGTAGAAGAAAGCAGAATTTAGCCCTACACTTTGACAATGATGTATTAGTCTAGACTAGGGAGCAAAATCATGAGAGCTTTGCTTGAAAAAGAACTGCATGATATTGCTCCCCCTTCTAGAAAACTGTCTAAAGCGCTCTGCAGTCAGACCATTTATTTTATTTGCCAGTAGACAGAGGGCCCAATCCCGAAAGCCCTTGCTCCCATAAGTTGTCCTATTCATGAGATGGATACACTACAAAATCATCTCTAAAAATTCAATTCTAAATATCAATCAATCTGAAAAAGTCTTGCCAATTGTAGAAACTCAGAGTTCAAATGCAGGCCAGAAACAGTTATAAAAGTTACACTAAAATTAAAGGTCCAAAACAATGTTAAAAAAAACCTGACTAAAACGTTGGTCGTAGTCCAAATCTGAAACAAGAACCACACATATGGGCAATGACGTCTATCGTTTAGGTCCTCCATCCTCTAGGGTGAATTAAGGAAAAGCAGATTATTTAGATAAAAATCAGGTTTTGTCACCACCTCTATGTTCCAGCTAACTAAATAGCAAATGATACAAAAAAGGGGTATTTGAAAACTACATCTGTATAATCTATAACAGTTAGTTCTCCTGCAACTGTGGGCAGTTTATATTTCTAACCCTAAATCCAGCTAATTGGAGATATAAAATAACTACTAACGTTGCAAAAGAATGATAGTATTTTCAAGTGCCCTACAGCCACATACAGTGAGTTCCCAGCACTGTGACCAAACTGTTCCACATTAATAATAAAAGATGGGTACTTTACTGGATATAACACAATGTCATTTCAGCAATCAGAGCAAGAAGAATCAAGGGGATCACATAGTGCATTGTTTAATTACAAACAGAGATATACAAAGCATCTAAACACAATGAGCCAGCTTCTTCTCTGGTGGAAATCCATTGATTTCAAGAAAACTGGCCTTCCCTTATTCTCATCCTTTTATCCTTTCACATTCTAAAAACATTTTCAATTGAATTACACCAATGATGAATTTGGCCAAGATACCATATATCCTGAAAAGTTACACTACTGAAAAAACAACAATTGACCCAGAGCTATCACTATGTTTCCAGTCACTGTACCAGTGCTGCCTCAATTATACCCAGTGACTAAAGATTCATTAACTAGATCTCTTCTTGCCATGTGCAAAAGAAGCACAGACGTGCAATGAGGACTCTTCCTCTAACCCCAAACTTGTCTCTCTCCCTTTGCAGAGAAACAAGTGAGGTGTCTGGTGGGGAAGGGTTTTTTTTTCAGTCGCAGATTTAGAAGTAATTATGATCAACCCTAAATATAGGCCCGAGCTAATTGCATTTCCTCAGCTCAAATGGCTCCCTTAAATGCCCCTCTACACAGAGCAGCCTGTCTGCAAACGCACCACCACAAATGAGTTGCCCTGACCTTCTGCCACCTCCCCAAAACTATTATTTTCCCCTCCACCCCCATCCTTTTGCGACTGTTTTTGAAGCACTACACAGAACCGATTGGTTGTGGGCCCGGGGCTGCCCCAAAGCCAGACTTGGGGCATGGAGACCAATCTCCCGGCCATCTGTTTAAACCCGGGAGCGGGGAGAGAAGCGGGGTTTGGAAATGGGTCGCTCTGCAAACCCAGCGCGGTGCCCAGATGTCACCAGGCAGCGCGGCGTGCCCGCTGGGCAGGGGCCGCCCAGGAAGGGAGCGGGGCAGGGGGAGGCAGGGTCCCGGCCGGAGGGAGGGAGGCAGGGATGCGCGGGCGGGCGGGCGGGCTCCTTACCGGCTTTGTAGCTGCGCAAGCCGCCGCCGTCCCCGAGCTCAGGGAGGATCCCGCTGCCCCACATGGCGCCGGGGCCCCGAGCCCAGCAGCACCGCGAACTTCCCCGCCTTGCGCCGCGGGGCCCGGCCAGCAGCGGGCGGACGCGGCCGGGCAGGCGGGGCGAAGGCGCCAGGCGCTGCGGCCGGGCGGGCGGGCGGTTACCGGGCCGCTCTGGCCGCTCTGCCTCCCCGCTCCGGCCCGGGGGCAGCCGCGGCCATGGCGCGGGCGGCGCTCGGGCTCTCGCCGCCTCCTCGCGGGGCGCAGCAGCGGCTGGAGCAGCGGGGACAAAACTTGCTTTATGCCGGGGCCGCCGCCGCCGCCTCCACGGCCGGCAGCGGGGCGGGGCCAGGGGCGGGAGCCCAGCAGATGCTGCCGCGTCTCGGGCGCTGAGCCGCCCGCCTAGCCCGGCCTAGGGGGAGGGGGCGCCGGCGGAGCAGCCCAGCGGCCGCGGGGAGTCCTGCGCGCATCGACTGGGGGGGCTGTGTCCGCCCCTCCCAGCTGGTACCCCGCCCCCGCCAATGCATATCTGCCCCTCTAGATTTCCCCGCCTAGGATACCCGCTGTAGCCACTCAGCTATCCCGTATCTCCTCTCTGTGCCTTCCCCCGTGTCCACTCCTGGATTTCATATCTACAGCCTGGGAGCCTTAAAATCCCAGCTGCGTTTCATGGAGCGGTTGCCTGTGTGTTTTTTACAAGACCTCAGAATTATTCAATTTAATTTACCTTACAGGACAAAGAGAACTGGGAGAATCCAGGACTGTATATTCCCAATCCTTCCTCCCACTCCCCAAGCATTTCCACTGCCTTCTGCCCCAAAGATCCCATCTATATTCCTCACATAGTTCATACAGGATCAGGGAGAATTAAAAGGACAGCCGCATGGGTGAAATCTGAATACAGAGGGATCTGAAAACTGATTCCCTCCTGTAACTTCCCAAACTAGTTACCAAGAAGAACCTTGCCAGGTGCATAGAGAGAGTAGCAGTAAAAATTTGGGATGATAGTGGGAGAGGCTAATGACTCATTTGCAGTGTGAGGGTGCACCAATGTATCAGACATTGCCTTAGTCACTCCTTGAGCCCCCTTCCACCTCTAGCTAATACAGGCAGACCTGTAACCCCTCCAAAAAGTCCACCATGACTAGCTACTGCCCAGCACAAAGCAGAGGAGCCTACATCTCCTCCCTACTACCTAATATCGTGTATAAATAACAATAAATGTACAGAAAAAGGATCTCTGTTATGATGACAAGAACCTACGTTGGGTTCACTCCCAAGCTTGCACTAGAAAGACATTTCAGCTGCCAAATGAAAATGAAAGAAAGCTACAACATTCACAATACACTTGAATCCAACCCCTAAACACTTAGAAGAGTTTATGATAATAATACATGATTACCATCTACTTTTCTGTTTCAAATAGCAGAAGAAAAAATGATGAAGAGCAATAAGAATTGCAACTAATTTGTATTTATTTTAAGAACACTAAAAAGGCCCTCACAAAAATCGCTAAGTACCCTAACAATCACAAATTATGACCATCCAGCAGAAAAAAAAATGCAAATCATGAATTAGCTCTCCCTGAAATAAAAAAAAAGGGGGAAACAGCTACATCCCCAGAACACAGCTTCTGCCTGCCCCCAAACCCGTCAGAATTCTTCACAACTGGTTGGCATATTCATTCCATTGTTATTGGTTTGCAGGAGATGTTAGAGTAACTGTGTCTCAGCTGGCCCTTCTTTAAATGTACCTCTGGAAAAAAATTTAACCTGACCTCCATCAGAAATACACATCAATAAACAAGGATGCATAGATTGTAGTTGAGAAAAAATATTTTGCTAAAACCAGTGTACATGCTTTATTGTACTCATTCTCACAACAGTAGACCACTACAATCCAGCCAATGGAAGTGACGGATTCAGACACTGTACCCTGTGATGAGCACAGTATAAACGCATAGTAGCCTAAACAAAGGATCAGATCGAACACTACAGTATGTATTCATTGGAGACATTCAAGCAAGCAACAAACCCTATCCTTATGTAACTTCTTGCTGATCCAGTGAATTGTTTGTTTTTTAAATGGTAAGCTGATTAACACAAATTATCTTTTATTTTCTTATTTTAACCCATTATGGGGAATCTAATGGTTATAGACTGGACTTCAGCAAAAACACATTGATCTATCTGTCTAGGTGTTTGTAATGTATGTATCACAAAATAGATTCTAAGCATTCATTCTAGCTAGAGGCTTCTGGGCAAGTGTACATTGGCTAAAAAACAACATAGAATCACAGAAATGTAGGACTGAAAGGGACCTCATTAGGTCACCTACTTCAGTCCATTGCACTGAGGCAGGTCTAAGTATTATCTAGACCCTCCCTGGCAGGTCTTTGTCTAACCTGTTCTCTAAAACCTCCAGAGAGGGAGGTTCCACAATCTCCTTAGGTAGTTTTGTTCCAGTGCTTAAGTACCCTTATAGTTAGGCAGTTTTTCCTCATGTCTAACCTAAAATCTTTCATGTTGCAATTTAAGCCCATTACCTGTTGTCTGTCCTCAATGGTTAAGGAGAGCAATTTATCACTCTCCTCTTTATAAGCGCCTTTTATGCGCTGAAAGACTGTTATGTCCTCCCTCAGTCTTCTCTTCTCCAGACTAAACAAACCCATTTTTTAAGTCTTTCCTCATAGGTCATATTTTGTAGACCTTTAATCATTTTTTGTTGCTCTCCTTTGGACTGTCTCCACTGGAAGAATTACTTCTCATGTCTTACTTACAACACTCTTGTTAATATATCCCAGAATAATGTTCGGTTTTTTTGCAAGAGTATTATATTGGTGACTCATACTTTGTTTGTGATCCACTATAACCCCCAGATCCTTTTCCGCAGTACTCCTTCCTAGGAAGTCATTTCCATTTTGTATTTGTGCAATTGATTATTCCTTCCTAAGTGAATATTTCACATTTATCCTTATTGAATTTCATCCTCTTTATTTCAGACTATTTCTCCAGTTTGTCCAGATCATTTTGAATTCTCATCCTGTCCTCCAAAGTGCTTGCAATCCCTCCCAGTATGGTATCATATGCAAACTTTACAAGTGTACTCTCTATGCCATTATCCAAATGATTTAAAGTGCAAATACTAAAATTGGCAGATGTCTAACTCAAAAAGAACTCCTGAATACACTCAAATCACCTCCCTTCAGTAAAGTTTTGAGTGATACAATACTGATAAGCTTTGCAGCCTTGAAAGGCAACAAACTTGGGTTTGGGCAGATCTATGAGGGAAGCTAAATCCTGGACCTACCATCAAACCATGAGAATGTCCAATCTCCCCCCTCCCCCAGCCTTACTCCTGTGTTCAAGTCAAAGGACAGTTACAAGAGCATTATAGGTAATCTTAAATGTTAGGATGGTGCATAAGTAGCAAGCTGCTTTCTAATACATACAAGACCCAAAATTATGCAGTGGCACTGATTCAAATGCTCTTAAAGAACTTTTCTACATACTGCCTTTGAGAGAACAACTAATGTTTTTATCTGTATGTTCTGTACTTTGGTTCAGCACTTGTACTTAACTCAGTTAGAAGAAGGCAATGTGGATTTTAAACAGGCTATTTTTTTTAACATCAAGTAAAGACTGTGGAAGAAAAATCTCCCCTAGGAGAAGAAAGATACCAAACTGGAGTGAAGCTTGAGAGTTTCTGACCCTACAACACAGTGCAGAGGCACAAAGCCACAGACTTTTTGACCAGGTGGAAATATGACTGGGAAAAGGTGTGATGACCGTTCTTTCATATCATGACATATGTATAAGGTGCTTTTGTGAATCTGTTATTTACTTCCCTTTAACAGTAGCTTCTCAGAATCCTCAGCAGATCATAGAAAAGGAGCTGTAAGAAGGAACAGTAAAGGTGGTACAAGACACACCACTGGATTGACTTCATTCACTTCAGTGGGAGTTTGAGTATTAGGCTCAAAGTGTTTCCCCATGTTTTGAGGTATCTAAGTTGGTGCATCTGTACTTTTTTTTTCTTGGTGTGTGAGGGGGAAACAGTATAATTGTACATATTTGGAATTAAGCATTAACCTGCTATCACCTGAGTCATTAGGATCCTTTTGACAAGATTCTGATGTATAGTCCCTGAATTTAATTACCAGTGCCTCTTTTACTACTTATCTGAGAATATCAGTCTAGAAACTAAGCCAAATTAAAGTCAGTGCATAAATTTGGCTCCGTAATCCATTACTCACTCCCTAATAAAGTCTGTTTTCCTCTTTGCTGCATACACACAGTCCTGGATACTCTGTACCATAATACAAGGTCTCAAAATAAATTTTTTTAAGTTCTCAAAAACTTCATAGAAAACCTATGCTGCTAAATTAATTGAACCTCCTGCAGAGGGGAGGCTGAGTTAGTTAATGCGGTTAAAGCCAGAATTAACTCCCACATGGATTTCAGCTTGGAAATGTTTGGAGTCTTCAGGACACTATGCCATTAAGTATGGCTGCATCCCAACTCCCCTCATTCTTAGCAGGCCCATCCCCATCATCCCACATAGCCATAACTGCAGAGCTCATGGGCTAGAAGGAGAATATGCTGTGTGGGCTCTGGTGTTTATTTTCATTTGCTCCTCTGCACATCTCACAGGGCCTGTCCATGCAAGGATAAATGTGGCCTTTTTAAAAACATGTTTGTTAATACATTTTAAAACTTACTGTAGACAGAGAAAGTTGTCTTGATCAGCTAATACATGTTATAGTGGGGACCTTATGCTCCTCCTTGGTTACAAAACAACCAGCTGATATGTTAAAATACCCCTTGCCCTGTCTATAGTAAGGTTTTAAAATGAGTTAGCTAACACCTATTAAGAAGACCCATTTCTCCTAGTGAACATAGGCCCACAGAGGGTGCTTGGGACCAAAGGTAGAATATTGTCAGATTGCAGTTTGACAATTTAAAAAAATGCTACTGTTTGCCAGAAGCTGGGAATGGGCAACCGGGGATGGATCACTTTATGATTAACTGTTCTGTTCATTCCCTCTGAAGCACCTGGCATTGGCCACTGTCAGAAGACAGGATACTGGGCTAGATGGACCTTTGGTCTGACCCAATATGGCC